CACACACACACACACACACACACACACACACACACACACACACACACGGAGTCACACACACACACACACACACACACAATGTAGAAATGTGTCTCTGTGTGTGTGACTGTGTGTGTGTTCGTACTGACCTGGTCAGCGTGGAAATGTTCAGAACTTTGTTCAGTGTCGCCACCTGGTGGAAATAAACAATAATTAACATAAAATAAAGACATAACAGAACGTGCGAATGTGCGAGCATGTGTGTGTGTGTGTGTGTGTGTGTGTGTGTAGGGGGGGTTACCAGGTGTGGATGCAGGTGGAGGTCTGAGAACGAGTCAGAGGTGAAGATCGTCTCCTTTACCTGAGAAACAGCTGGTCTGAAGGAGGAAAACATCAGAAATCAACGTCACGTGATCAGCGGCAGCCAATCAGAGGCAGCCAATCAGACTTCAGTGTACCTGTGGATTTCTGGAATCTCTGGGTTGTGTTTAAACAGAGATGAAGTCTTGATGCTGTTGTGTCTTTCTGTCTTCGTCCCCTCCTTCCTGTCCTTCTTCAGTGGTAGTGGCTCAGTGGGCGGAGCCTGGACACAAACATCTCTTAAGTTTTGCACCAATCAATCAACAGATTCTGACTCACACTAGGACTAACCCCCTCCATTTGCAACTGAGACATAAACTTTTTAACAAACAAACCACAGTTAGAGAAGATCCACAACTTCTCCTCCTCCACCATAACCAGAATAATCACTGTGAAGAATCACATTATGTTGCTGCTGATCAGTTTCATGTTGCTGCTGATCAGTTTTCATGTTGCTGCTAATCTGTTTTCATGTTGCTGCTGATCAGTTTCATGTTGCTGCTGATCTGTTTCGTGTTGCTGCTGATCTGTTTCGTGTTGCTGCTGATCTGTTTTATGTTGCTGCAGATCTGTTTCGTGTTGCTGCTGATCTGTTTCGTGTTGCTGCTGATCTGTTTCGTGTTGCTGCTGATCTGTTTCATGTTGCTGCCGATCAGTTTCATGTTGCTGCTGATCTGTTTCGTGTTGCTGCTGATCAGTTTTATGTTGCTGATGATCTGTTTCGTGTTGCTGATGATCTGTTTTATGTTGCTGATCTGTTTCATGTTGCTGCAGATGTTTCGTGTTGCTGCTGATCTGTTTCATGTTGCTGCCGATCTGTTTCATGTTGCTGCTGATCTGTTTCGTGTTGCTGCTGATCAGTTTTATGTTGCTGATGATCTGTTTTGGTTGCTGCTGATCTGTTTCATGGTGATGTGTTCCTGCTCATCTGCTCACACAGACTCATGTGGTGCTGCTGTTCAACATAATGTTTTTATGCTGTTAGTGCTTCGTGTATCTTTAGTTGATGTTGATCTTAGTCCATGTCTTTGATCTTGTCACTGTTTTTATTTTACATTTTATTGATGGATGTAACTGGACCCTGTGGACATCATCTCGTTCCACCACATGTACCACATGAGGTGTGTATGATAAATAAATCTGACTCTGGCAGAGTTTACCTGCAGGCGAGTCTCCTCAGTTTTGTGAGGAAGCTGTCGTCTCTCCTCCTCCTCCTCCTCCTGTGAGGAGCTGAACCTCCTCTTCCTCTCTGCTCTCTGCCTCTTCTGGGAGGAAAAGCACAAATATGAAGCTGCCGTGTGTGTTGAGGATGACTCTCAGCTACTACCACCTCAAATATGAACTCAGTGCCTGAACAATGAATGAATCGAAGTCGCTTCAGTGAGTTTTAAATCGTGTGTACTCACTGAAGTCCATCTGTGCGGAGTCGTCAGGAGTTTATTGCTGCTGGACCCTGATGATGATGATGAAGAAACATGTATGCACAGCTGTCCACGTGCCGATGACATGACTGACTCACCTGGGTGGTAACCGACAGGTGAGTGTGTACAAAGTGCAGAGCTTCAGTAAAACGGGTTATTCTCCAACCAAACTCCACCTAACATCACCAGAGTTTACACAGCTGCAGGTTACACCGAAGCACTCTTTGTAATAAAAAGAACAAAAGCTGCACAAAGTTCATCCCAGTCAGGTTTCTGACTTCTGCTGGAATTAAGACCTGACCAGGTGTTTGGGGATAACACGCACGAGCCTCTGTGACACGCGGCAGCTCCTCTGCTCGTCAGAACGAAGATAATTACTGGATTATTGCGCATGCATCAGGATCATTACTGTTACAAAATCCATCAAGCTGAACAGCATGGACAAGCTGAAACACGTGCGTGTGTGCACGTGCCCAACCTTTGCTGAAAGCCAACGGTCTCTGCTTCCGGTTTGTAGATACCTTTCACATTGATGAACAGTCTAGGTAAAACATCATGGCAATATAAAAACGAAATAAATCCTTACCATGAAACTTCAGGGACACAAACACGCCTGAAAACCTTTTCCGTATACGTCACAGAAGCCCCGCCTCGCTTGGATGTGGGCATGCGCAGTAGCTTCACACATACAAAGTCAACAACGCGCTGAATTGTCCAGGATGAGAAGAACCGATTAGACTCGCTGAAAACAAATAAAACAAAACACTAAAGCAATAAAGGTAAAAAATAAAATACCAAAAACTGAAAAAGAAATGTAATATTTGCAAGGTCCAAAATAAGTGCAGTAAACAACATCATGGCAGAATGGTGCAAGCAGGATGAATTAGTATGAATTAGAATGAATTGCGCCGCTCAAGGTGGCTGCACGTTGAAGTAACTGTTGAGTGAGTATTCATTCATTCATTCTTTCATTCATTCATTCTTTCATTCATTCATTCTTTCATTCATTCATTC